TGCACTGGGGCTAAGTCCCACTACCCGCGTCAAGCTACCTCAACGCCTGAATCTGGACGTGTTTGTGGAGAGGTGCAGTTCAGGAAACTCAACACTATTTCTGCACATCTCAGCAAAAGCGTCCAAATTCAGGCGTTGAGGTAGCTCAACGCTGCTAGTGGGACTTGGCCCCTGGACATATTATATTATCTCGAACGAAATTGAAATGTCATTTTTTTGGGTGCAAAAATCATGAAATTGAGGGTACAGCGTTCTGAAAACGCCCCTACTCTCTCCATGCATCTGGACTAGTCCACATACATCCATGGGGTCTAGCATTTTTCGGCCGGGATGTATGCGGACTTGAGCTAAGTCCACATACGTCCAGGGGGTAGGGTAGGGCATTTTTTTCAGAAAGCCGTACCCTCAATTTCATGAATTCTGGGCCAAAAAATGAGATTTCAATTTCGTTCATTTAACGAAATCCCTGTTCGGCGCCGGATAACAAAATCACTCTTTTCATTTCCATAGGATAGACTAAATTAATAGACTTTTTTTTTTTTTTTTTTTTTTTTTTTTCAAAAACCCCAGGTTGAATGGACGAAATTGCCGCACACATCCAGCGGCCTAGCTCAGTTGGTTAGGCACGCAAGTGGCATTCAGGAGGTTGTGGGTTCAAGCCCCATGACCGCGGCGCATTTAGTGCCAACGAACTGGGATAGTCCTCTGGATACTCCTGATCGGTATTAGTGGAATCTATGGCCAACATGGGTGTGAGTGCGAGCGCGAGTGGGTTGTGTGTGGTGTGTGGGAGAGTGTTGGCCATAGCTACTGCTGCTACTGAATGAGGGGTGGGGGACGATGAGAAAGGGAGGTGCAGCTACTGGCAGGTCGCGGTCTTTGTGTTAGCCAGACCCCCACTGGCGGACCCAACCCTATACCCTAGACATTAGGGGCAAGGGGCAACATGAAATCTCCCCTTCACAGTGAGAGGAAACTATGCTTGCAGGGGTCCCCTCTAGATAGCCTTAGGAGTAGGTAGTGAAAGGCAAAAAACAGAAGTTGAGAGAAGAATATATTTACGTTGCATAGAGTACACGTACGGGGGCTTCCCGTACGAAACGTACAGGTTATTTCTGCACGAGATCTGTACGGGAACCTGTACGTCTTGTACGCCCCCTACGAAAAAGCAAAAAAAAAAAAAAAAAAAAAAAAGTCAT